ATGGCACGCAGACGATCAATCAATGTGAGCCAAGGCTTCGGGTTTCAATTGTGAGATATCAGGCAATGATACTGTCCAGGTTGCCTGAAATAAATTTAAGTCCTACCTCACAGAGGTCTCTGCTGCCTTCATCCCAGCCACGAGGAGAAAGGGGGAACGAGCACAAACGCCCTGGATACATACCACCGGCAGGCATCTGCTCACAAAGAGGTCTAAATGTTGGCGGACTTACCGAGATGCTCTATCCACCGATACTTATGACAGGTACCGTAAGGTTAGAAATAAGTGTAAACAACACCTAAGGAATGCTCGGCTCAATTTCGAGAAAGGGTTAACAGACGAAACTTCGGAGAATCCAAAAATATTCTTCGCATATATCAGAAGGTGCTGCGGTTCGAACACAGTGTTGATGCGTGATGACGGTACCTATATTCATACAGATTATGACAAGGCCTGCGTACTTAATTGGCAATATGCAGCAGCGTTAGTAAGGGAAATGTCTTTGACGGGTGTTGAGCTGGTTTGCAGGATCCCAAAGGGTTCGGGGCTATGTGAATATATTGTAGCGGAGACGGAAGTTCGTAGGCTGTTACAAAGACTGAACCCCTTTAAGGCATCTGGTCCTGATTAATTCAACATGAGTTGGCTGCGGAGCTAAGTGGACCGTACGCTATCGTAGCTCAAAAATCGCTTGACAGCTCTGCATTACCCTCCGAATGAAAGGAAGCTGTCATCTGTCCTATCTTCATAAATGGAGACAGGAGTCTGCATGCAAATTACAGGCCAGTTAGTCTGACGAGTGTAATAATCAAAATCATGTAGAGAAACACGGATTCCGGAAAGGATTTTCCTGTCTGACGTATTCATTGGCAGATCGCGAAAGTCGGGCGGATGCAGGGGATAACGGCCACGCACTGGACGTGCTTTTCGTTGACCTTTTGAAGGTATTTGAGAAGGTAACCTATATAACGCTTGCGCAAAAGCTAAATTCTAACCGTATATCTGGTCGCGCCTTTCACTGGGTGACTGCCTGGATGGTAGAGAACAGTGTGTACAGATAGGCCGCGGCCTATCGTTTAAGCAATCTGTCCTCAGTTGCGTGCAATAGGGCGCGGTCCTTGGCCTACTGCTGTTCGCTATGTGAATGACCTATCCGCGCAGCTTGAGGTACCATTGCTGCTATTTGCCGATGACCTGAAGCTGTGGAATATATTCTATCTTCCTCGGGGTTATGAAGCTACACAGCGAGTCTTAAATAGGTATTGGGGACTGGTCTACATTATGGTTACTGGACCTAAATCAGGCAGTGTTCCGTTCATCGAACTGGAGGACTTTGTCTCCCTACGTAGTACTTGGTCCGTGGGGTCAAACTCCACTGTGTATCTATACCATTTCCAGGCCAAGTTGTCCTCTTGTGCAACAGAAATAATCTGAGGGGGCATTCAACATGAGTCTACTTAATTAATTTGTTCCGTACGTACGCTAGTCACTTGTGCAAGTGTGTGGGTGTGCGTGTATAGTCCGTCTCCTTCAGCCAATTGGAGATCAGTCGCAATAAGTCCTAGGGGTGCATGTGAGAGGCTTCAGCTCCTACGCACGAAACAAATCAATTGAGTAGACTCATGTTAAATGCCCCCTCAGATTATTTCTGTTGCCCAAGAGGACAACCTGGTCGGGAAATGGTGTAGAAAGGTTGATCTAGAAGTACTTTTCGACTTTACACTCTTGCGACAATTAGAAAGAGGCCGCAAGCAGAGGTTTCCGTATGCGGCGTTTAGCACGCTGTTCTTCCAGAATCTTGACAGGCGGCACCTCTGTGAGACTGTCCACGGCTTTCTTTCGGCCTCATTTGGGATACTGTCTCCAGACTTGTCCGCCCTGTCTCGTCCGGGACAAAATGGAGCTAAAGAGGGTTTTACGGGTGGGTACTAGGTTATTTGGGAAATTACGGGGACAGACGTACCCCGAGCGTCCACTTGGTTTAGGAATGCATTCAATGCACTACCGAAGGCTTAAAGGAGACCTAATCCTAACATACTGTAGCTTAACTAGAAACGGTGGTCCAGATTTATCTTGGCTATTCAAGCAAGTTAGATTGTCTGTGCTCCGCCGTCATTCCATGAAGCTGGACAAACCGCGATTCGATCGGATTAGGGTGAAAATCCGGCTATCACGCCGTCATCGAGCGCTGGAACATGCTTTCGGAAAGTGCTATCAGGGAGTCTACGGTTTGAGCGTCAACTTGACGTTCTTGGGTGGCAACACGATACCTTGCCCTTTTCCTGACTAACTCGCATCTTCATACTTCAATTTTCGTTGCTCTACTTTTCTTCATGCACTGGTATTATCCTCTTATTCCAGGTGAACTTATTAGGTACCTCCGATTTATCTTCCTTTCCTTTACTTACTTCACGTGACGACCACAAAGGGACTGCTAGGGCAGGAAATGTGGGCATTAACCGGTTTGCCAGAATGCGAACAGGTGTTCCGTTTTAGATCCATCAAGAACTCTGAGCACTTCAATTCCTGACGCAGCGATCCACTCAAGATGGAACACTCACGGAATTCTTCTGTCGTCCCAGTCCCACCCGAAGTTGAACTTTCCTATACACATACCATCACTGTGGAAATACGGTACACAAGCACGAACATAGTACTCCAGATGTGGTCTAACCACTGCTTTATATAACGGCACGAACATTTCTGCCTTATTGTTACTCAGCGCCCTTCTGAGGAGCTTTATTGGCAGCAACGCGACAATATGTCAAAGGCTTAAACTGTTCGCTATGACACCTAGATCGCGGGTTTCATCAGTATACGGCAAATGACAGACCCTCAGAAAACTGCACTGCAAGCCGGCTATCACTATTCAATCAATCAATCAACAGCAGTACATCAGCCATGTAAACTGGTGCTTCGCTGCCATACAACCATGAGGACCTATGAAATAAAGAAGAGGGAGAGAAAAGGGACTTGCTTGAAAATTCTAGTGCCCTAAGCAAACACTCAGGATGATGGCTCCTACACATTGTGTTGACAGCATCAAGTCTCAACCTGCCGGCTATCGTGCAAAGATAAGGCGGCATCGGTGAGACAGCTTCCTTGCGGTTTTCACTGACACGCGTCACAATCAGCCATCACCTCGTAGATAACGCGGCAACAAAAACACTTTAAAGTAGCAATCCGTCTAGCAGACGGCAGCAGACGCGCCAATGGTGTCGGTTGCGAGCCATGTCCTGTAAAGTCTCGAGCTAAGCACAAGGCGAGTCACGCGGAGTGCAGCTCGGAGGGCGAGGCGGACCAACGGCAACCAGTTCGGTCATCAGTTACTTAATTTCCCGCTGCCAAGTCAACTTCTGTCCACCTCGAGCCTTGCGCCACCCCACACCTGTCAGACTAAACAAGGCGTTCCCAAGTAAGCGGTGACCAGGCATACGTAGCACGTGCCCAACCCAACGCAACTTATTCAGTGCTATCTGTTGTTCCAGGGAGGTAGCATGATTATCACTACCTAGTACTCGCCTAGGCCCATCATCGTTGAGGACACACTGGTGTCATCCGACTCCAGCAATGCTTCGCAGACAACGATGATCAAAGACTTGAAGGCACCTTAGATCTTCAGGCCGAAGGGGCCAAGTCTCACTACCATACAGCAGAACGGCCCTCACTGTGGCCTTGTATACAAGGCCTTTCAGAAGAAGGGAAACTCCCTTCTGTCGCCAAAGATGCCGCAGATTCAAGAAGGTAGCTCTGGCTTTTGCAATAAGTGAGCTGACGTCAGTTTCTATGCGCCGTTCATTGCTGATGCAGTTGCCAAGATAAGTGAAATGATCAACCACCTCTAGTTCCTCGTTAGCAAGGGATCATAACGTGGTTGGTAGTCCTGCAACAGCACTCTGAAGATGCGGAGCGCATGCCAAATAGCGGGACCACTCTGGACAGGCTATTCAGGTTTGATCGTGCCACCGAAATATCGCCGAAAAGCAAGACGATATCATCCGCATAACGAAGATCAACTAACCTTTCAGCAGGCAGGACTACAGCGTCTACATCGTGAGATTCCGCAAGGGAACACTATTTGATATAATCCACGACGAAATTGAACACTATTGGTCAATAGCTGACATTTATTTGCGGAGGTAAATCCCAATGGCTCGACTAATTCGCCACAGTGATGACGCCCTTGTCAATGTTGCTCGATTATCCCATACTGAATAGCTTTAATTCTTTGCGAAGATATAGCAGGGGTCCTCAAGAAGAGGATCCAGGTCGTTTATAAAAATAAGAAACAGTAATGGAACCAGTACCAAACCCTGGGGGAAACCGCTGTAAACAAGGTCTAAACTAGAACTCGCTTCCCCGACTATGACTCCGATCGTTCTAAGAATTCAGAAAGAGTAAGTAATAGTTGATGATGCAATTGAAACCATGTCAGCATTTCGAAAATCGATTATTCAATGTGTCAAAGGTGTTATTGACGTCCAAATAGCATAGCTCTACCGATCTCTCACTGTCAAGATATCGGGTAATCTCATACAAAAAACACAAATATTAGTAAGCACGACTTTTTCAAGAATGCTATGCTTTTCTGCTCTAATTAGATTGTGCTCAGTCAAGTGCTCACAGTTTCTGTTTCATACAATTTATTCCAAGCACTTCAGCATGATGCTGGTCAAGCTAAGACTTATAGTTAAGAGGCGTCCACTTAGAACCCCTTGTGGATGACAACAATGGTCGCCTCCTTCCAATCTCGTGGTAGCCTGCCGTCCTGAAGCGACAGGATACTGTAGGACATTAGCCGGTGGCTTAACTAGGGGGGATGTACATTATCAGGACCAGCTGATTTAGATGGGTTCAAGCTGGCCAACACTGGGCGATCATTACGGAAGTATGAAACAGGAGGTAAAAGACTCAATACTTAAAAGATTATTCTGGTAATGGTTTATTTAATAGCAGTGAGAGAATAGGGATAGTAAACAAATTAGGTGGGGGAAACTCACAACTATGTACAGTATTTACAGCCAGAGCAGGGCTCACAGCATCCGCGACCCGTCACAGCAATGAAGGTTGCTTGATGCAGTAAAACAAGCTTTCGGTTACCCACCAGTTATTTGTGCTCTTTATGCCAGATGCGCAGTAAAATCATTATATTTAGGATAATTAATTAACTTCGGTTGACGAAATCATTTCAATCTAATGTGTGCATTAATTTTTAGATGATACATTGCTTTTTTTCTCTGTCATGTTTATGCACAGTTTGAAGACCAAAAATCTGAAAAGCTTTTATTGCATGCATTTCCTATATTTTTGGCTACTCAGTTACTTTGAAACTCATCTTATGCTTTTTTATGCACCAATCCGTTACTGCTCTGTCTTGTACCTGACGGTCCGAAGTAGAATTCTCATTGGCCGAAATAGTTTATTGCCATCGTCCGCCTCATGAATCGCAACCCTGGTATATTTAATGAGTGCGGCAAAGGTAGCAGGTGATCTAGTCGTTTCGTGGTTTAGGTGGCTATGTTTGAGCTAGCACCCCAGACTAGGCATGGAGTGCGACCATACAGATTTGGAGGATGAATGTTACGTCTATCCGGCAGTTACAAAGCGCTATTCCCAAATAGAGTTGCGAAATCAATCTGAACCTACCAGCATTAACATCGGGAAATCTTTACCTAAAGAAATTGATTCAGTACAACCCGATCTTCCTCCTCGTACCGTCACTTACCCATTGCAACCGTTATTGAAAACTAGGTTTCACTTAACCTCAGAACTATCTGATTGTGCGACAGACCTTCAACAATCACAAGGTGATACCACGCATAAAGGTAATATTCAGAGCTCACACAGCTGCGGCGCAGCTAAAACAGAGCGCAACGTGCAGACAGGGCTGCATTTATCACCAACAGTTAGCAGTGCTAATTCTAATAATACTACACCAACACCAAGTTTTCCTTTGTTATCAGTGGAACATACACAAATGTCCAAGAGAACATCAATTCAACAGCTCAGAAAATACTCCGTTGTGGATCCAAATACATTAAAATATTTTGATGGTAAGTTAGACTATAATTCGGACGACACTACTGGATGTGTGCAATCCTTTTGAATACTGGGTGCGAGCACCAAACCCGAGAGGATTTGTAACCTCAAATTGGTGTATTAGCTTATTTATACTCGTCTGTTTGACAGATTTACACAATGAATATTCAGACGTAAGTATGGCATAACAGTGTAACACCTGAAGGGATAATTATTATCTCTTAAATGTAAATTTACTGCTTATATTTGGTACACAGTTCATTCTTGGTTGCTGCTTTCCACTCTCCGTCCATAATCGTTTGCACTGGTCTACTCGGTGAGTTACTGCGCCGACACTCGCTCCTGTTCGCTTCATCTGATTAAGATTTTCGTGGCTACCCCAGAATTTAGACTACTGTGTTCGACTCCATTAGCATTTTGAAATAAGTACTTCATTACATACACTTGTCAGCGTTGGTATTCACTAGACTCACGACAAGGAATTTAACTTGCATTCTCTTTTTTGCGCGAACCGCTAGTCGTAATTATTCTTAGCGTATTTTTATGGTAGAGACTTAGAAGCCAATCTTTTCTATATTAGGCGTACTGAACGTTCCGGTTACTAAGGTTGCGGAGCAGAACTCTGGTATTGGTTGCAACGAGGACTAGTAGGAACCAGTGCGGATACCAATTATTCAGACGTGAACACGTTGCTTAACACAACGTGTATTATACAGACCTGTACTGAACTGGAAGCAAGTTAGCAAAAGCACAGTACAAGGTAGCATGCGACTAACAGGGTGTTCGAAATGAACCGGATGTGTCGTCAGTAAAACTAATAGACGATCGGAGGACACAAACAAGAATAAAGACCGCTATAACAAAATACTGAAAGCGTATGTGTTTCACATACACTCCAAGTGTCTTCCCCTAAAAGGTTGAATGAGGGTAGCCTTCGATAGAGGTGTCTGGTGGGAGACAAAGTGCGGATGGGAAGGTGGTTGTAGTGGTTTCAGGCAGTTCGAGATGGCGCTCGTGGAGTCTGTTGGGTTCCGGTCTCTTGGTTGTTTTTTATTTATTATTTGAGTGTGGACTGTGGTGCATCATCGGTGGGACTTCCGGGCGGGCTCATCGGACGGCGTGAAAAAACTGGCTAGTTCAGTAAAAGTCCGACAGGACATTTCCTCCGCTGCATAACCGACGGTGCGCTTGGGAAGCGTCATTTTCCTCACCACACTCCAGTCCAATGCGATGGCGATCCTCGTCCCATGAAGAATCCCGGACCTCGTCTTTGGGGAACCATTTCTCAGGACTTGCAGTCCAGAGTAGTCGTTGTCGCACCGGCAGTTGGGAGTCACGGTCGCTTGGAACCAAGAGTATGGGGCCGGAGGCAATAGGCAGGTGGATCCGGTTATTCCGCGGTTTGCCGAGGGATTTGAATTCTGGCATGTAAAACTCATGGAGGGTGGGACGTGGTCGGTATAAGAGGCGTGATGCCATATGGAAAACGAGGCAAGTATCCGAAACAAAAATGTGCACTTTTTTATTTAATTTGTAAAAACGTTTTAAGGTTTTTTGTCGTTTTGCAAAAGATTTGTGAATAAAACACACGATTACCATGAAACGTGATATATGCACATGCCAAGAACTATAGCAAACGTCAACATAATCTAAAAAGCAGACCGGACGTATCACCTGTCTACAGCGTCGGTCAGTTGCCTGAGGTGGGGGTTGGGTTGGCGTAGGGTGAATAATAACGGAAGAATCTTGGATGCCTAGTGCGGAAGATGTAGCTGCGAGTAAGTTTATTGTGGGGCTGAACCATATGGGGTTGGAGGCGGCTCTTCAAAGAATGCAGCCTTGCGACTATTTATGGACACCTTTCTTCGGTGACCATTCTGATCAAAGGTAAATTGCTTGGGAGTTCGTTGGAGAACTCTGAAGGAGGCGATGTAGGAAGTCTGAAGAAGGTGACGCACCACGTTTGTGCGGACGAAAACGCGAGTGCAGGTAGTGAGTCCACTGTACATTTGCACATCTCTGGTTTGCTCACGAAGATGGGTCGAGTGCAGCGAACGCATGCTTTGAGAAAGAGAGACTGCGGAAGACAGTTTCGGCCGAGTAGTCCGGTCAAGTGGTGGATTCTGGCCCTCTAGTGAAGTGGTCGACACATGTCAGTGTTTAAACGAATCCGCGAGAGGGAGGCAAATGTCTTGCTAGGTCTAAATGCACGTGTGAGAACGGCGCATCCAGTACAGGGACTGAGCCGAGAGGACTGTGGGTGTGTTGCTGTACCTTGGAGCGCTGGCAGTTGACACAACCTCGACGCCAGGTATGCACATCCTGATTTACGCTTTACCATAGGAAACGCCCGGTGACCACTTTCAGAGATGGCCGGATACCAGGGTGACAGTGAGTGATGTGTGTGGAAGATTGTGCGTCTGAAGGAGGCGAGCACGATGGGTCCAGGACAACTTGTTGTAGTGTCACATGGGCTAGTTGTGTCCGTGATTTAGAGAGAAAAACTGGTTGCACATGCAGTGAAGTGGACTACAATGTGAGTTGGAGGTCTTCGTCTTGCTCCTGAGCTGATGCCATGGCGGCGAGGTATGAAATACTCAAAGAGGGAAGGGTGAGTTTGACTTTAGAGAAAGCATCAGCGACGAAGTTGGCAATATTTGGGATATGGCGTATGTCAGTAGTGAACTGAGTGACGAAGTCTAGGTGTGGTTTCCCTTTGTGGAATATTTGTCCGAAGATGAGAGGCTTGTGGTCTGTGAAGACCGTGAAAACTCGGTCTTCTTATGTGTGTCGCAATTGACGGATGTCTAAGAAGATGTCAAGCAGTTCTCTAACAAACGTGCTGTAGCGGGATTCCGCTAGTTGCAGGCGGAATCGTTGACCCTCTTTTAAGCCGGATTTCAAACTTTCTACTTCAACGGCGATTAGTGTTCTTTAGCAGACCCATACAAGTTGAGTGTGATGTGCCGCAACGCTCAGTTCCAGGTCCACGTTTATTTTTGGTGCTTATTAATGACATCCTACAGGTAATTGCTACAAGCTTCTTAATGTTTGACGACGATATTAACATTTGGCGCAGGGTTCAGATGAAAGCTAACCAGCATCTACTTCAGAGTGATCTAGATACGGTAACTCAGTGATAAACCCGAAGTTTAGTGCCTTTCAGAGTGAGTAAATGCAAGGTACTCTCCACACGACATCAGAGGAACTACTCATCCAAACTCAGAACGAATGTACTGAAACCATCAACTATCGAACGTGAGTTGGATGTGCTGGTTCAAGATGAATCGGGTTGCTCCAGACACTCCGGAACGGCGTCGAATGCTGGAAACCAAAGAGTCGGCTTGCTGTGACGAATATTTAAACAAATAAACAGCTCTATTCTTCGACAAATGCTCAGTGTGTATGTTCTCTCCCATGTCGAATACGCAATTCAGGGCTAGCATCCACGGTTAAAACCCCACCTAAAAGCACTGGGGCAGCCTCAAAGTCGGACATCTGAGTACGTAATTGGAATGCGCATTCTTTCATGCGAACAGAGGTGGAAACGATTGCGGGAATCCTTCGCACGGTATCGCCGAATACGAGGCGACCTGATTATGGCAGGCATGATTCTGCACGACCCACATAATGTGTGCCGCCCAACTCAGCAGCAATAAAAACGTGAGGGGTCACTCAGTGAAACTCGCAGAACAATATAGCCATCTGGTGTACCGCAGGAATTTCTTTGCCATTCGTGTATTTCACCCTTGGATTTCTCTCTCAGAATCGGTCATCTCTGCGCCGAAGTTAAGGGTAGTTAAACGACGGTTGGATGACGCACTCATCCACTTACACTTCGTCACTTAGCGCTACGTCTCCATCCTACATCTGGAGTTTACCATGAATTTATTTGGTGTTAACTGTAGGTGCTGTGAATCTACGCGGATTGCAAAACTACAGCGAAATAAACAATAAGTCCTTATTTTCATATTTAACGTACTGACTGTTTTACCATTATTACTATTATTATTATTATTATTATTACGATATCCCCACCAACTATCCAACTGGACTTGTAAAGTGCGCCTCTTAACCCGTATACATGCATTGTTCCTTGTACTGCGCAAAGGTTGCATATTGTATTGGCAGGCTGCATATTCCTGTTAGCGCATTTTTTACTACTGATCATCACAATACTGGATTGTTGATAAATTACTACAAACCAAGTCTAATTTGACTAGTGCTTGCAGTTGCGCGTTATGGTGTTATTTTAAGTACACCCCCACCAACATTTCCCTTCCTGTGGAGTGACCAGTTTTAGTTCCCACATCCACTCGTCTCATACGTGTTTCGAATAATGGAGTAGAGAAGCTTATACCGACCATTCTTGGCTTCACCAATCGGTGCTGGTTTTTGGTGTGTAGTTGATTAACAGACACATAGCAAAATTTGTCATAGTAACGGTATGAAGCGGTAAAATTCCCTTCATTTGCGAGAACCGTTTTATCCGTGATTCGTTTAAACTGACAAGACGAATGCACTTCCTTGGGTTGTCAAGGGTAGCTTAATCTACTGGTGATTTGGAGAACAACCCGGGCAATGATATTTTGTAATTGCGACACCTGAAAGTCTGGAGGAACAGAACTACTCGGAGATCACATTAACGGGTAATGACTAAGTACGAACTTGGTCCTGAAGTGCGAGACACCTCCTATCCGTCATCATTAGTCTTTCCAAGCGTCGCAACCGAATCCATTTAGTTGATACCAAGCTTTTGAAAATACTAAGCTGACATTGTAACTCATAAGGGATGGCACAGAAATAAAGAAAGCCAATGCCATGCCATCAGAGTATTCAGTTTACTTTCTGTTGAATTGTGTTAGTCAAAACTTTCATTTGGTGGTGTATTGAGATTTTTCTTGTTACTGATTGGCTGGGCGTCAGCAAGTCGGATTTATGAAACCCTGCTCATTGCCTCCCTGCGTGTGTACATACTTGACTATATTTACAGTGTATCGGGCTGCGGAATACA